ATAGTTCCCCGGCGGCCGCCAGAGGCGCTACAGTGTCGGGCCCGCGCGCGTCTTAGCCCTGCCCGGCCCCGCCTCAGAGCGGGCTCCCGGCCCAGCGCCCCGCCCCTTGGGGGAGCTCCTGGGTCCTAGAGCACGGAACTGGACCGCAAGGCAGGGGGCCTAAAAATCAGCCATTTAAAATAAAGAAATAAATAAATAAGGATTTTTTAATTTATTTCAATCAGCTTTTTTGTTTAATGGGGTTTTTTTATTTTTGTAAATGCTTTTAAAAAAAACAACAAACCCAACCTATATGTAGTTTTAATTTAAGATACGTTGGAGCGCAAAGATACCATCATGGAATAGGGATTATAATTTCTAATGATATACTATTTGAGATTGTATATTCATGTAATCTTTTTAGAAAAGTTTTATGAATAGGTCACAAGAGGCCGTGGACTGTATTAGGAGCCCAATCTTATGGGGATCCTGGAGGCTTCTCTACAGATTAGTAAAGAGTAAAGAAAACTGCTCCAGCCAATGGCACTCGGTGCTCAGTCTGGAACCGATAGGGTATGTTGGGGGGTGCAGATGTAGGGGGGCAGGGTGTGGGTGTGTGGCATTTGTGGGGTGTGAGGGAGGGTAGGGGGGACTCCCCCACACTTCTCCCACGTTGTGCAGCCCTGCAGGTGGCAGCAGCAGGCAGGGGCACTCAGGGTGCCTGTGCCTGGTGCTGGTGCCTGGCGGCAGGCAGCTATGCCCAGTGCTGCAGATCGAGGTGAGGAGCGCAGCCCCTGCCGGGCTGCCTCTATCGTGGGGGTTCCCCGCTGCGCATGGGCAACCCCCACACTCCTGCCAGTGGAGGAAAGCTCCACGTGCCGGATCGGGAAGCCTTCTCCACCCCCTCCCACGAAGGTCTCAGGACTCAGCTGGAAGGAGCCCCCCCACAGAGTTCCGAGACCTGTGGGCCGCATCCATCCCCCAAGCACTTTCATCTGGTCTGTGACTTCCCCGTGATGTCCCCGTGAGTTAGAGGCTGGATTTCAGGTCCCAAGATGGTGACCAGGGGGTGGGGTAACTGTCAAGGGGCGGGGCCACAGGAAAGCTCACCAAACCTCATTAAGCAGCTCTCCAGCCAAAATAATTGCCTGTACCCGGTTTAGTCCTTCCTGTGGGCAGACGCATGGTATTTAAAAAGTATTAGGTGATGGTAACCACAGCGCCAAGTAGCACATGGATGGCTCTCCATACTGCCAACAAAGTGGCACATAACCCTTTTGAAACGCAACCCATTTTCCCAAATGCGGAGGCAGCATCTTTGGTCCATCCTCAGGAGTTGCCTACAGGGGCAGGGGCAACTCCTGGTGGGGTGTGTGCGTGCGTGTGTGGGGGGGGGTTGCTTGGGCAGCAGGGCTGAGGGGGCAGGGTGAGGGACACCGGCAGGGCTGGGGGGCAGGGGGCTGCAGGTCCAAAGTGTGGGGTACTAGCAGGGTTGGGGGCAGGGGGATGTGGGTTGGGAGTGAGACACTGGCTG